GGGGATATCTAAGACAAGTGAGCACTTCTAGTTAGAAAACAAATGCACTACAACATGGGTATAATGGGTAGATGATTAAACTGTTTAAGATATTTTACATGCATAGTTATTACTCCAAATTGCTTTTTGCAATATGTTTTTAGTTTCATATTTTATGTAATATGTTTTTGTGATGTGTTTCTGAGGGTTAGGGCTTGAACATGTGAATTTTGTGGGAGGCACAATTCAGTTCTAAACAATCTCCCAAGGGAATAAATATGAAGTAAATAAGTAGGGCAGTTGAAGCCTCCTTTGATCCAACATTCTGCTAATTTCTGGTGAATAGGATGACTGTATATAATTTTGATGATAAAGTTTTCCCACCTTCTATTAAGTGTGTTTTTAGAAGAACTAGAAACATACATTTATATATAGCTCTTAAAATATTCCAAATTCTAAAAGAATGTCGGTAAAGGGACAATTGATAAAAATGTAAAAGCTGATATTTAGACTTGGCTTCTTTCTTTGCCATATCAGGATATGGAATTTCTTTATTTTTAGTTTATGTTTTTCTAGAAGTAGATCTTAATTTCTTCTTGGTATTTCATCTCTGCAAGTTTTCTTTTTTCCCCCTAAATTCTCTTTCCTATTTGAATATTGATTTTTGTCTCTTTTGTTTTAGATCTCACCTTTGCAGGACCTAATTTAACTGACTCTCTTGCTATACTTTTCTTGGACTCCTCCTTTACTGACCTGTCAGCAGAACTGACATTCTTTTCAGACATCTTTTTGCTGAATTTAGTGGTATATTTAGTGGATGAGGGAGGGGGCTTCAGTTCTTGCACATGGGGGCAGCAGGCAGAATCCCATCCTATATGCTTAGCTTTCTTGGTTGTTTTCTTTTAGGTTTGTCTCTTCAGCAGTATGTAGGGAGAATTTTTATTTTGATTCAAACAGATAATCTCTTTTTATTATAATTTGATTAATGATATATTTAGACTCATTTCTAGTATTTAGTTTTTCTTGGCATGCTCTTGGTTTTTTCTTTTTCCTTTTTTGTCTGACTTGTGTAGCGTTGATACAGTTTCCTACCGATTTAGAAAATGTAAAGTGTACTTCTGTTCCTATGACAAGTACCCTCAATTTATATATATA